CCATCGCCATCTCCATCCCCACTGCCACCACCGTCACCATCTCCATCCCCATCCCCACTGCCACGAAGAAAGCGTTCAGCTCGAGAGGCTTATTTCGAAAAAAAATTGAGCTGAAGAAGTTGCAGGCGGAAGAAAAATTAAAATTGAAGGCTAAATCCATACAGCAATTTAAAGAATTGCTTAAAGAAAAATTTGAAAGAGATGCTGATATAAAAAAAAGAAAACTCGAGTTGCTGGAAAAACTGGCAAATAAGTAGCACTTTGCTTTTTTCCTAATTTTTTAATTTGATTTACTTTTTTTCTGAATTAGGACTTTTTTTCTTTGAATTAAAATTTTTATTTTTTTATTAGCTCTAAGAAAAGTACTCGTGATATTTTTTTTATTTGTTTTAATTAAATGTGAAATATGTATGGATATTCGCTGTTAATTTGATAGCCTTGAATTTTTTATTAGCTATAAGAAAAGTACTCGTGATATATTTTGAGATTTTTTGATTTGAATTGCCAAAATGTTGAAATAAGTTGACTGAATTTTTGTTTAATTATGGTTTTCATACTTGTTTATTCAAACTAGTTGGTTGAATGTTTACAAATAAATGAATGTAATATATATTTAAATAATATTTTGTTGTCTTAAATAATTAAAAAGGTTTTGTCTCCTATCAAGGTTTGCATCCAAATTTGACTCCTCAATTTCATCTTCAATAACAAAGGGGTTCGCTTCGTCTGTGTCATTTTCTTCATTGGCGTCGCACAAATCGTCAAAAGTCATGCAAATGTTATGTACAACACACGTACTGGCCACGATGTTCGTAATCATCTTCAAATCTGTTTGCTCTGTAAATTCCACCAGCCTTCGGAAACGTCCTTTTAACAGCCCAAACGCATTTTCAACTACCATTCGCGTTGAAGAATGTATTTCGTTGAATTTTCGTTGAATTTGGGTTAAATTTCCATAGTCTTTAAATGGTGACACCAGCCATTTCATCAACGGATATGCCGAATCTCCGATAATAAAATAGGAACCTGAGAACATTTCTTCATAATATCTTTCGGCATCGTGGAATAGTTTTGATCTTCTCAAAACTCTGAAATCATGAAGCGAGCCAGGTTTACCACAAGTTATGTCCGTGAACTTTTTATCGGCATCTACTACGGCTTGAAGCACCAAGCTGTACGATTTTTTTCGATTAAAGTACATCTGTTTTTGATCTTTCGGACCCTTAATAACAATATGTGTGCAATCTATAGCTCCAATCACGCCAGGAATACGTTTTTTTTGGTGAAATTTTTCCGTTGTATTTTGCAAATAAGCACCTTCTGGCCACTTGATGTATTCATGGCTAATAGATACCAAGAATTCGGTAACTCGTTGAACTGTTGTCCACGCGGCCGAAGTGGCTACCCCAAACAAAATACCTAGCTGCCTAAATGTCACGGTGTTGCTTATGTACCAAATATACATATAAACTGCCTTTTTGGGTGATATGCGTGACCTACCACCACCAGACTGGTCAGGAAGAAACGCAGATATTGAATATTTCGCTGAAATAGGAAAAGTTTTTTAAATTGCTAAATGTGCTTGTTTCAAAAAGTTTGCATTTATTACTTGTTAGATACTCCACTGTTTCACGTTTCAGTCTCATGTTAATTTTGAAGTCCATCTCACTCATTGCATCGAGAGTACCTTCAAAGTTGGAACACTTCTCATGATGTTCATTTTCGCTTTCCGAGTCTTCAGAGGATGAACTGGAACTTTCAAATATGGTTTCCAGTATTTCGCGTACGGTTTCCCATGCTCTTGCCTGGCTGCTCGCCCATACACATTGACACGATCTGGACAAAAAGTACACAATCACTTATTAAATATAATTATTTATTATAAAATATATATATATGTATATTTACCAAAGATTCTTCGGAATTACTCATTTTGTTAAATGTTTCGCTCAAAAATTTCACAAACAGTCCACATTTTTTTGACAGCTGACACCAGTGTTGTGAAGTGAATGCAAATTATAAGACAGTTGAATATAAGCCAGTTGAGCGTTCTTTTGCAGCTCGGGTACAAAAGAAAACAACTATTATTTATTTTTTGGTATGAACATACATGCATATTTTATTAAACTTAAAATACTCTTGTACTTCACTTCATTGACTGGCTTCAACTTCGCTGCAAATTGAACAAAGCAATATATGATTTTTACGCGAGACAAATTTCCACAAAAAGTAACGGTAGAAAAAGAATTTTTGTATATTCATTCTATTTTTCAGCTGACTACGATGCAGCATTCTACTTTGCATTCTCCGAAATGAAGCAAAGAAGCGAAATAAAAAAAAAATATTGTAGGACATTCTACTTTGCATTACCGGTAATGCCTAAAAAAAGCGAAACAATTCGAAGGCATTATAACGCTATGCCTTCTAGGACACGTTACCACTAAAAGCGATTACCGATTTTTTGCTGGGCACATATGTAGCAAGGTTGTTGCGAATATTCGCATTCGCATTCGCAACCGCGGATCTTCCGCATTAATTTTAACATTCGCATTCGCATCGCACTCGCAATAATCAATGCGGAGCTTTTGCGAAGTCAAAGAGTAAGACCCTTCAATAGGTATTTCCAGCGCAAATGTTCAACGTTTAGCTATAAGCGGAATCGATTATTTGCGCGATAAAAATAACCTTTAATTTGGAAAGAATTATGTAACTATCGAATATTATAGGTCAAAGGTCTGTTGAAATAACTGGATCCATCGCTAGTTTTTTTCTACTTTTTCTTAGATAAGTGAATTTTTTTTTCATAAAACGGTTTACTAAGATTAAGTTCCGTGTTCTCTTTTATTACTTAGCAGAAAACACACACCAAAGAATTTTGACCGGTTTATCTATGCAAATACCCCTTTGTGCCCTCAAACACAACAATATTTACTTTAAATTTGTGATAGTTGGCAAGGTTTGCACGCAGCGAAATAAAAATGGAAGGTGAAAAGGTTGACAGTCATGTTCACAAATCAAATAAGAATCACTTCAAGGCGAATTTAATATCTATTGAGGAGTGGGACTTGGCATGCAATATATCGTTAGCATAGTATGGAAAGGGCGTGACTCATCGTCGCTGAAATACAAAAAGCCGTAACTAACTAAAAATCCAAAATTCACTTTTTGATTGATTATCACGTATTTCATGGACTTATAAATCCCCACATCGAGCCCCTCCCTAACTTCCAAATTTATGGCTATATATTCAACAACAAAGTCTAAGTTCGGGCGGAGCCGAACATTAAATACCCGGCGCAAGTATTTAATATATGACTTCCACCTTTCCGAAAGCTTCCTCTACATGGTAAACCGGGGCGTATCAATTTTGACTAAATTAGAGTCCTTAAATTTTGAAGTTTCAAGCAGTTCTGAAATTTACCGTTATATGAAAAGCGGCCTAAATTTTAGTCCGATTTCAATAATTTTCAACAGTTTGCTTTTATGTGGCTAGCACAATAACCATACCGAGTTTGGTACAAAGTGGTGTAACGGTTACCGAGATACATATATCTGATCATAAGTGGGCGGTGCCACGCCTGTTTTCCAAAATTGTATAACAAGCGTATTTCTTGGATAAGAATTGTTGCAGGCATCAATTTTGAATAAATTAGCTTTAATATTTACTGATTTATCGAAGATTTCGTATTTCTCCAAATTACCGTTATATGGGATATGGGCGTGGTTATTGTCCGATTTTAAAAATTTTCGGCCATTTGGTATGTTGTACTAAGGCCAACAACTGTGCCAAGGTTGGAAGAAATTGGTGCAGCGGTTACCAAGATATACACATGTAACCATAAGTGGGCGTGGCTACGCCCATTTTCCAAAAATTTATAATATTCTTATTTTTCGTTTCAAAATGATTGTAAATATCCATTTTGAGGGGATTATCTTCAGTAGTTACTAAAATATCGCAGTTTTCGTATTTCTGAAAATTACCGTTATATGGGAAGTGGGCGTGGTTACAGTCCGATTTCGCCCATTTTCAATACCATAAATGGAAACCTACATACCAAATTTCGTTGAGATATCTCAATTTTTGCTCGAGTTATCGTGTACACGGACGGACGGACAGACAGACATGGCTTAATCCACTTCTCTATTCATTCTGAGCATTTATGTATACATTTGTCTATATCTATCTCGATTGGTTTTGGCTGTTACAAACAACCGTTATGTGAACAAAATTAATATACCCTTGTGCACAAGTGCGCTCGGGTATAAAAATTGTACCCGGAAATGCTAGCTCGGTGGTAGAAGGGGAAGGCCCATTGCGATAGATAAGGACTTGGCTTCACTTGGCATTTCCAAATAGGCGTCAGTTTGCACAGAAGAAAAACAACTTGCGTACTGTTTTGGACTCGGCCAAAAACGCGTAGGCGGTTATAGCGCCAAATAAGAAGAAAAAGAAAAACTGTGCGTCGGAGATGCATTTGCTCAAGCGAGGCGTGGTCTAGACCCATCAGCAATGCATGTCTTGTCTGGCAAAAGATTCAGTTGGTTATTTTTATGTAACTTGCGGACTTAAGCTTTCACAAATTGGACAGATATGGGAACATTTTACTTTCTGTTAAAACTAAACCACTTGTGTAAGTCTTTTTTGGGTACCCGCGCTGTTTTAAAGTTTGCCTTTTCTCAAGTCCGGCTTCTATGTTTTTTTACCTTTGCTTTTGCTTTAATTTTGACTAATTCTGATAACAGCTGATTTGTTTATTTTATTACAACGCTTTTATCAACTTGCAGCTATAAAACCCTCAACCGACGAGCTTGAGAGGTAGGTGTCGCCCTATGCACTACGTATACTACAGTGGATATGGACGATACGCCGTTACTTTAAATGAAATTAATTCATGCTCGTATGTATATACATACATATGTATATGCATGTGTGTGCATAAATATATTAATATCGTTGAATTATTTTAATATGTATTGCTAAATTTTTTACAGACGAGACGAACAAGTAGAAAATAAATAATATAAAAACAAAAAGCGTTTTAATATACCGCGCTTTTATAAATGGACTAAAAAGTAGAAAACAAATACTATAAAAAACAAGTCAGAAAGTCTAAGTTCGGGCGGAGGCGAACATTAAACATATTAAGTGCACGTACAAAGTTTCGTTAAGATATCTCAATTTTTACTCGAGTTATCGTGTGCACAGACGGACAGACGGACGGACGGACAGACAGTCACCGCTTAATCGATTTCTCTTTTCATTCTGATCATTTATGTATACATTTGTCTATATCTATCTCGATTCGTTTTGCCTGGTACAAACAACCGTTATTTGAACAAAGGTTATACAAACTTTTTAATATACAACGCTTTTATAAATGGACTAAAAAGTAGAAAATAATGATTCTCAGTCC